TCGGCGCACGGGCCTCTCACGGCGCAGGCGTGCTGCGCAGGTCCCGCCCCCTCACCTCTGGCCCGGGTTAAAGTTCCGGTCAAACACGCGCAAGCGTGGGGACGCACCGGGGCGTGATGGGCGGGGCGTTCCTCGAGCGCCGCGCATGCGCTTGGGGAAGAGTGAGCGCTAGGTACACCCCTGTCGTTTAATGAATATTAACAGGCCCGCCATGGGCCCGTCATCGTGTTTAATATTTATGTGCATCATCTTACTTGGTGTTATAGCAACCCAGTGTAGAGACTATTGCGTTCCCATTTTATAGATTTGAAAACTGAGGCTCAGAAACATTAACCCGTTGCCAAGTGCTGGGCCTTAGAATGGAAGCCCCATTTCTCTAAGGCGCATGCTTTCCGGGTCCCTAGGCGAGGCTCCCACCCTACATTTATTCATTCGTTCATAGCATTTAGGAAACACCTTCCGTGCTAACTAAACGGGCCTCTGTCTTTCCGGCAGAGAGCATGGCAGGGGAGACTTCACCACAATGACAAAGCAGGGTACAGGAAGCGCATACAATGAGGTCACTGGACCTGGACTTAAGGGCCTGGCAGGACTGTGCATCAGACAGACACGTGCAGTCATATGTAAATGCATAAGTACACACGTGGAAGTGCCCACATAGCTAACCACCAAAGTCAAGACACGGGGCAGGAGCCGCGTCTTGGTGGTTCTGTCGTTCTCAGTTGGCACAGTGGTCTGTGGACTGTTATTACTGAGTAAAGGCACATAAAGAGGTGACCAAGGAAACCCCATGATTCTAGACCAGGGGTGGGCAAACCACAATGGGTTCTTAAACTGGACCTGAGGGCCGGAACAAAAGCATGGATGGAGGGTTCGTGTGAACTAATATAAATTCAAAGTAAACATCATTACATAAAAGGGTACGGTCTTTTTTTTAATAGTTTTATTCATTTCAAACGGGCCGGATCTGGCCTGCAGGCCGTAGTTTGCCCACGGCTGTTCTAGACACATTCCTTGTCTTCATTTTGAAAAGCCACTCAATTTTTTTTCTTGTTCAACAGGATCTATTATCCCATCTAGGTTAGGAACCCCTTCTCTCTGCCTTTAACAAATGGAGACCCCACAGTAGCTCTGGGGTAGACTTACCAGTTTCAATTTACCAGACATCTGACTCTGTTCCTTGGAGGAACAGGGGGTCGTTTGGGTACTAGAATCTCGAAATTCAGTAAACCTACAGTTATGTAGATGAAAACAAGTATCTTAAGTGGATTATTAGGTCTAACATGCAAGGAATCACTACCATCCCCAGGTCGCAGGCATGTGCTGTCTACTGTAGAATGACACCCCCACCTCACACGGTGTGGGGTGTTAGCTGGCGCCGTGACTGAGTCTTTGGTAGGCCATTCTACCATCCATCTGAGTAATAGGGTGCATGACCAGGTGAATTCCAAGGGCGTGAGCCCATTGCCAAACTTCCTCCGCCGACATGTCAATTTCTTGGTTAGAAGAGAATTGGCCCGGATGCCCGGACACCCTATTAAAAATGGCACCGCCACACTTTCTCACACCCCTGCCCCCTCCTCGCTTTGTGTTTCCAAGTGGCACTTATCACCTTCCACAGACGACAGCACGTCCCTCCCATTTCACTCCGTGTCCTGTTGCCTAGCATAATGGGAACTTGGCACCTAAGAACTGAGCCCGGGCCTCTGCCCTGGGCGGTCAGAGTGGGCTGGACCGGAGGGCTGCTGCCCACTCGCTCAGTGTTTTATTGCTTTATCCCCTGGGTTTTATTGGGAACCACAGACAAGTGTTGCCGGAGAGTACGCTGGGTTTGTGCCAGAGAGCTTGACCTGCGTGTGTGACTCACTGAAGGACTCTGGCCTCCGGCTCACCTTGAGGTTGGCTGAGCTCAGTTCCTGGCGTGGAGGGCGTGGCGGGCGGAAGAACGCTCAGGAGCCTCTGTCATTGCTTCAGCATCCCCAGGTGCCTGGCCTGGAGCCCACCCCAGAGAGAGGCGGTCCCTTCCTCCTCCTGCCGTTAGAGCAGAGGCAGCCCTGGCAGGCACCCTCTCCTGTGCGCCATTCCGAGAGGAGAGCGGCTCCCGAGGGTTCCTACCGAAACGCCAGGCCACGGGGAGGGCTGAGGGCTGGCGTGCAGGGGGTGGAGTGCACGTGCCCGCAGGAGGCGTGGGAGAGGCCAGGACAGGCCACACTGGACCCAGAGGGCACGCTGCCGCCCACAGCCTGGCTCAGATTCTCCCAACGTGTGTGTCCTCAGGTAAGTCACCCAACCTCTCTGTGCCCCAGTTTCCTCAGTGAGAACAGGGGTAAGGCAGCTGATGGCATGAGGATGCGGGAAGACGGACGGCGGGAGGGAGCACTTCTAGGACACGGGCAAGGCCTCCGAAAGCATTCCTCCCCGTCAGGCACGACGGTCCCGCCACGTGGGGTGCATGTTCTTTGCTGCACAGGCCTCCCGTCGGGCTCTCCTACCATCAGGCGAAAGAGAACACTGACAAAAGTGATCCCAATCGGCTTTTCTAGAACTCTGGGCAGTAACTAAAGGCTTGCAACAGCCTGAGAGGTCTTTCCCGAGTGAAACCGCCAAGTCTTGATAAACACGCTGAGCTGGCGGCACTGTAATTGCCCGAGCCCCATCGCTTCCTGTCAGGTCCGTGGGAGCCTTGGAACCCGGGCCTCGCTCCTGTGATGCCTGAGCCAGCAGCCGGCAGCCACTGGACGGTGCAGCGGGCTTGGAGTTTCCCCAAAGCCCCAGCCAGAGCCCGGCCACCATTCCCTTGGCAGTTTGCTAAAGCACCTCCATCCTCAGAAGGCCTTGCCCGGCCCACCAGGGGGCACAGGGGTGGGAGCGACTCCGGCGGCCGCAGGGGACGCTTATAGCAGGGCAGAGGGCCTCCGGGGGGCCTGCTGGGAGCCAGGCCTGGAAGCAGAGGGGGGGTGACTAGAAGCAGGATGTCCCCCGCGAGGAGAGGACGGGGAGGAGGCATGCCTGGCTTCTCTGCTGGTCCTCGGGGCGCAGGACGACAGGAAGGCTGCCGGCTTGCTCAAGGCCGGACCTCGGGGCTGAGGCGGTGGCCTTGGCCTGCGGCTGGTCGCTGCGGGTGGGAGGTTCTGGCCCCATGCGTGCACTGGCCATTGTACGTTTGCATTTCTGTCTCCGCACCCTCAGCAAACACGGCAGATTCCACCTCCCAGATCCAGTTAGAACCAGCCACCTCGCCTCTCCGCTCGGCCAGGCTCCGGCAGCCTCCCCTGTGACCGGCCACCGCGGCCCTTTCGCCTTCGTGGGGGCATCGCTGGGAGGAATCCTGAGGCCATGGGGTGAGGACACCCTCCCACCCCACCTCCCGATCACAGCCAGCTCCTCGCCGAGGTCTGTGAGGGCCTGTCCCGTGTCACCCGGGCCAGCCACGCTGCAGGCCCCTCGTTCTTCCGGCCTCTCTCTCCCTTTCCCGCCCGCACTGAAGACTCTCCCTCTGCTGGCATCGGCCCCACCCCGCTTCCCAGGTTGCAGGTGGGTCTGGAGTGGAACTCCGCGGGTGTCCATTAGAAAAGGCGCTCCCTGCCCGTCTCCCCCACCCTCAGCCCCATCAGAGCCAGTTCCCCGGGATGGTCATTTTTTCAACTGTCGTCATTCCACACCTGACCACCAGAGGGCAGCAAGGCCCAGCAATTAGATCGAAGGGGACCCTCCAAGGCTGGGTCCTGGGCTTCCGCTCCTGCCTTGGGGGGCCTGGGATCAGGGGTGTCCGGTAACCAGGAGATGGGCCCCGGGGAGGATGGGGCAGGGCTGGCATGTTAGAGAGGCCCCAGGAGAGAAGGGCCGATCAGAGCTGAGGGAGTATGGTTACCCCAGCTTTGCTCTTCTTTTGCTGTTGTTCTATTTTAACTTCACAATTTCAGAAACAAACAGCGTGAGGCCCAGACAGTGTGAGTTGTTTGAGATGATAACACAACTGCCAGCGGCTGGATCGGCCTGGCCACGCCCCCCCTTATCAGGACTGTCTAGATCAGTGGTTCCCAAACTTATTTGGCCTACCGCCCCCTTTCCAGAAAATATATTACTCAGCGCCCCCTGGAAATTAATTTTTTTTAAATTTTAATAGCAATTAAACAGAAAGATATGTGTATTAATGTTTCTACCTTTTTCGTAAAATATAGTAAAGAAAGGTGTAAATTAGAAACATTGAAGTTTGAAATTATGAAACTATTTATTGAACTCAGAATAGAAAGGTAATACAAGAAAAGTTAAAACAAATGCACCTGTGGCCATCACCGCCCCCCTGGATCGCTGCAGCGCCCACCAGGGGGCGGTAGCGCCCACTTTGGGAATCACTGGTTTAGATAAAGGGGGCATCTGGCGTTTCTCGCACGTATAGAACAAAAGCAAAAGCGTTAGTACCTACTTCCCGCCCCGCGCCGGTCTGTGAGTGTTCTCACGTGATCTTTTTGTCTGTTAGCTGCAGATCTGGAGGGTTTTCCCTGTGGGAAGTCACCTCACCCCTCGCAAGTACCTTCCTGCGACAACCCGGGTTCTGACTGACCCACCGGCCTGTGTTCTCTTTGGCGGCGGTTTTGTTTGTTCCGTTTTAATCCAAGCCCCCACGTCAATGGAGAGTCTGGATTCGAATTTGGCTTCATCCTCTAAGTCTCTCAGCCCCAGTGTCCTCTTAGAAAATGAGTCTGGCCCTGGCTGGGGTGGCTCAGTGGCTAGAGCGTCGGCCTGTGGACTGAAGGGTCCTGGGATCGATTTGGGTCAAGGGCACATGCCTGGGATTTCGGGCTGGATCTCCAGTAGGGGGCATGCAGGAGGCAGCCGATCCATGATTCTCTCTCATCACTGATGTCTCTCTCTCTGTTTCTCTGTGAAATCAATAAGAGGAAAATGAGAGGGGGCAGGAAAATTGCTTTGAATGGTGCCCTTCGGCACTTAGCCAATGCGTGTGACCCCAGCCCCCTCCTGCGGTTGTGACAGCAGCCCCAGGCTGAGATAAGGGGCGCCTGGAAGAAAAACCAAAGGCCTGGGGATCTGGCCCCAGGCCCCTCACCCAGCTGCTTCCTGCCTCATCTCTGCGCTTTGGAAGTTTTGGGTTTGGATTCGCAGCTGGGTCAGAGTCAGGAGGGGAGCAGCCTGAGAGGCCTTGTTTGGGGGAGGTGGAGGGAGCGGGGGAGGGAGTGCAGGGGACCCGGTCCATTCAGAGCAGTAAGGCCCGATGATAGGAGGAAGCTCTGATCAGGAATGAAGGTCCCTCAGCTGTCAGCCCCGGGATCGCCTCCCCCACCCGTGCGGCTCCTGCAGCTGAACCGGTGAGGGGTGGGAGTGTGAAGGCCCACCTCACTCACTCATGGGGAACCTCGAAGGGCCTCCCCAGCTTCCGAATACCCTTCTGGACCTGCTGAGGCCACTGTCTACAGCGCCCAGCAGCCCAGCTCTCGGCTGCCCCTTCCTGCCTCCGCCCCCCTCCCTGCGCAGCCCTGAGAACAGCCCCTTAGCAAATCTCACGCTGATCTCAGCTGAGAGCCGCTCCGGGAGCCAGCGTGTGGCCGGTGCCAGCCTGGCGCGGGGACCTGCTTTTCCTTTCGGGGAAGGCCTGACGCTGGCTCGGGAGGGCGAGCTGGTGGGGGAAGAGCCCACAGCTCCCTGCTGGGCAGTGAGCACAGGCCTGTCCCATCAGGCCCGGCACACAGTGGGCCGGACAGAGACTGAAGGATTGGAGTCCGGCTCTTGGTGACAACGGAGGACGGAGGAGCCAGGCTGGACTAACTCTCCAGTAGAAACATGTATAAAAGAGAGTCTGGAGAATATATGTCCTAAGATCTGAGATACCGATGTACACATATAAACTATTTTTATTGATTTTCTTTTAGAGAGAGAGAAAGAGAGAGGGGATAGAGAGATAGAAACATGGATGAGAGAGAAACATCACCAATCGGCTGCCTCCTGCACAAGCCTCACTGGGAATGGAGCCTGCAACCTGGGCATGTGCCCTGACCAAGAATGAACCGGTGACCTCGTTCCTGGGTCGATGCTCAACCACTGAGCCACGCCAGCCGGGCTAAACTATTTTTAATGGACACACACACACATATGGATAAGATATACGTATAGATTATAAATACAGATATTATTTGAAGAGTGACAGGAGCAGACAGAAAGGGGAGGGAATTTTGAAAGACAGCGACATTTGCAAGTTTGTGGCTCTGCTTGCGGACTCGCCCTATAGCCTTTCTGGTTTGAAGGGTCGGAGGTCAAAGCCAGGGGCTGAGGAAAGAGCCAGAAAGTCTCTGTGAGGGTGATTCTGGAAGGGAAGGAGCCACAGTGGTAACTGCCTGTTGAAACAATAACACAACGCTCTTCAGAGGAACATAACAAAATTCAGAATCTCCACCACGTGCCATTTATAATGCTGGCATCTAATAGGATATCTAACAGGAATATTGCAAAGAAATGGGAAAATGCAAGAAGAAAAACAACCAATAGAAATCGAACCGGTGGCCCAGATGTGGCAGTCAGCAGACAAGGGCCTGGAGCGGCGGCGATAAGTACGTTTGAGAACGGAAAGACAGACAGATGCGGGATTCTTGAACGGAAAAGGGACTCGCCGAGAAA